CAGCCTCTGCACGTTTATCAAACCAAACGCACATCGTGACAAACACAGATGCATTTGTGCACTTTTGTTAGGCAAACTTCAGCCAAATGTGGCAGTAGGTCTGTTCTGTAGATCCGCTCTATGCTGTAGACCTGCTTTGTGCCAACACTGTAACACAAATTTAGACTCATTTTTGCTTCACGTTTGGTCTTGCTCTTCTAATCAATGCGCACTGTGGAAGGGGCTTGTTTTCGCTGTATGTAGGAAGGAGCGAGAGCGTGAAAAGGCGAGGGGCGGCGTGCTGACGTGAGGCAGATGGACAGGTAGGATGTTTAAGAAGTTTAACCTGCCCTGTGATGCACGCTGGTACACGAGGGCACACGCTGTTGCAGACGAGCCGTGCGTAGGGAGCGTGTGTATTTGTGATGTGCCGTAGAGTCTCCGCGGGCTGCACTGAGACGCCCCACACGCTCTGGCACACCTGTACAAGTTTATTACCAACAGCAGTGGCCGTAATGAAATATGATCGCACTTGTTGAGTGTCAGACCTTGAGTGAGAGACAAGACCGAGTCCAAACGCGAGTCCGAGACGAGACACGGCGATCTACCCACACTACCTTGGCGATCGACTGGTAGATCGCGATCGACATATTGAGCACCCCTGATTTAAAGGAACGAGGCAATTAGCTGCCTGTTGCCACCCGGACGAATATTAGATCACTCTGCGTGATGTGTCCGTGCTGTAGTAAGTACAGCACGGACACTCGACAATGACATAATATTTGCAGGTAATAATTAATCAATTTTAATTTAAAAAAAAGTGATATTGGATAATTTGTCACGGCACACCTGACGATCTCTCACGGCACACTAGTGTGCCGCGACACAGTGGTTGAAAATCACTGCTCTACTGAACTAAAGGTAGCAAGCAACTGTCAACTTGAAAACTACCACTTCATGATACTACAAGGTGGAACAGAGCATTTTGAGTTTTGGAGATATAGACAGACTAATAATAAAGGATTACCCAGACATGTGTGAATGAAACAAAACCCTACTCCAGGTATGTTTTGGAGGAGGAAACAACATTCTAACATGGCTTAAAGCTCACAAGAGTCAATTTTGTCTAATAGGTGCTTAAAAAATCTGATTATCTGAGTCATAATTGCGCAGCTGTAATGTAATTTTGTGATAGAATACAAATCTGTACCATAACTATACAAACTATAGCCTCGTTGCTCTATTGAGGACAGTGCGATGAGCTGTGATTAAACGGCTGAAGGGAGACGGGTCATACTGCTCTGTAATGTTCTGTTCTCTGTTCTGTGTGGCTCAGGTCAAGCTGCCACCTCGCATAAGAGCTTCAGAAGCTGCCCGCTCCCGTGTGAATACATTGACATTTTCATTGGACTGGGCTTTGCCAGTGTAAACCAGCCCAAACACTCAAAATGCAGCCAAGACCTCACAATTAGCATAGGTATTTCTTTCTTCCTTTGACTCGCAATAGCATCAGACACACAGGCACGTTTATCTTAACATGAACACAAAAGGACCATGCACTAGATACCATTTTTGTAATTTAAAGGTTCTATATTACGCTGTTTTCTGATCTATGTTATGTTCTTTCCTCATCACAAACAGACCTGGAGTTGTGTTTTGTTTCATTTGCACATTTAACACACAAAGCTGCATTTAGGCTGAGTTCTTCTGTCAAACTAAAATCATTTAGATAATTTCAGCCCTGGAATTGCCTATCTCTACTGAACTAAAGGTAAAAGGTACAGTAGCTGTTAATTTGAGAGCTACCATTTCATGACATCACATGGTGGAAGAGAGCATTTTGAGTTTTGGAGACGTAGGCAAACTAAGAAACCAGGATTGCTCAAACATGTGTGAATAAAAAGTAGCATTTTTTTTCATGGTTTGGGTGGTCCTGCGAGTTATACTCCGGTGCGACTTATTCAAATTTACACACTGACAGCCTCGAGGGGGCGCTCTAGACTTGTGTGCCAGTATCTGCTACTCCTATTACTCCTGTACCACTCTCACTTCACTCTACTGCACATGTCTCCAGCAGAAAGAGCCTCTGTCCTGTCTGTATCATGTCACTCGATCGCATCATTACTTCGGTACCACTGAAAATGTAACATTTAGGCGACTTCAGTGACACCGAAACCATCCTGTCGGGATTCAGAAAGTTCGAAATAATTCTAACTGGAACTGATGCCAAGTCTGACGTCAGCTACACGGAAGAGGAAGCGGCGCTCCATTTACCTCCGGAGGTTGCGAAGTCACTCAGAAGTGACGCAGAGAATGAAGAATTCAATGGATTTAGTGATTTGGAGTGAGATGGAAAGTTTGGTAAACTTGTTGTGTTGTTTATGTTATAGTTATCTGAATAACAGCCTGTTGTTCTACTGTCTGGCTTATAGTCCAGTGCAACTTATGTTTTCTTCATCTTTATTACGCATTTTTTGGCTGGTGTGACTTAAATACTGTATTTTTCAGACTATAAGTAAACAACATGTAACATTATAACATGGCTAAATGTTTACGAGTGAATTTTGCGAAATGTAGGACCTTTGAAGATGCACTACGTAACTTTTTAATTTAAACTTGTATTTGATTTAAATGAAATTATTATTATTACTACTATTATATTTGTTTTAATTTATCTTTACTATTTTACTTAGTCTCCATGTGATTTTAGCTCTCCATTTTTATTTTTACTACAACCTTCAGGAGCTTTACGTTTTATGTTTCTGTTTAAATTGTTGTACATATGGATGAAACAGTGGGGTTTGGGTGTGGTTGTGGTTGTTTTAAATCTCTAATTTTTCTTCTTTTGTGCTAGATTTCAAATGTATGAAAAGTGCGATACAAATAAAGTTTGATTGATTGATTTTCTCGTGGAGGATCTGCCACTTCTTGGAAAGGCTCGTGCCTGGAATGTTCCACAGTATGACTAAACTTCAATCAATCATGAATGTTGTTTTTTTTTTAATTACTGGTCTTTTTATTGGAATCTACTTATGTCCACAGAGATAGACAAAGCAATAACATCTCCATGGAGACAAGCAGGCGGCAGACCCTTTTTCACCGCTCTATGTGCACTTAGCTTTTTATATTGTGCCTTTTGAGCTACATTGTTCAAGGCATTTTCTTGAGGATCAGTAGTGTCGCTTAAAAATTCATACTTTATCAAATATCAGCGTTTCAAAAGTGCGGGAACACAATTCAGTCGTGTGACATTAAGAGATAACAGTGAATTTTACATAAACTCCATCGTCCCCATTTCTGCCAGTCAAAATCCAGTTTCAATTTCAATCACCAAGTGTCCAGCCACCACCAAACACCCACAACAATTAACTCATGATTTCAATTCAACTCCTGCCAATATCCAATCCTAATTACATTACATTTAAACAAAAGGAAATGAGGATTAAGGTTGTTTTGATTAGTCCATTGTGCGGTAGGGATGTGACAATATAGGTTTTCAAGGCCCTCAAACAGGACCATTCCCTTTGGTCTTGGGTATCTATTCTAAGAACTGTAGCTTGATTCATAAGTTTTGGTTAATATATTGTCACATCTCACTGTATGATTAGTGGTTCCAGTCTGGAGCGCTAGTCTGAGTAAGAAGAAACTGCAAGGCAAACAAAATCAGAGCTACTATGGCTTCAAAATGATCAATATCACAATATAGGCAATGCAATTTTAATTATCCACATTTGCCTAGGAAGAGAGACTTTTGTTTGCTGTAAAATAGTAAGTTTTTTTTGTGTTTTTTTTTTTTAAGATACAAGTTAAAGCTACCATCTGTACATTTATCTGACTTTCTTTTACGGTAAATGGCACATGCATGCTCTGTGGAGAGGCCATAGTTTGTCGACACTGCTGATCTAAAATGTAAATGTACAAACACATGTCAATCCATCAAGTCAACTTCTTGGCTATTGAACACCTCATCTAACCTGCGCCTACTGTAAATCGGACTGCGTAGTTACATGCAGCAGGTATCAGAGTTTTAGATTCTATTCACAATCACTCAATCGAAGTTCGTAGTTCCTGAGTTTACATGGATTTAAAAAAAATGTGCATACACGACCGGTCAAAAGTTTTACACTTTTTCCAGTTTTTTTACCGTTTACTGTTGACCAAAACATATTCTAAACTTTTGATTCATGAAAGTGTCCACCTTTGGCAGCTGAACACACTCGTGGCTCGTTCTTTTTACAATAGAAATCAAATATTCTTCAGAAAGTTCTTCCCAAGTCTGTTGCAGAAGTTCACGTAAATGTGTGGCACTTGTAGGTTGCTTGGTTTTCACTCTTCTGTCCAGTTCATCCCAAACCAGCTCGATGGGGTTCAAGTCTGGATGGAGACTGTGCTGGACACTTCATGTTTTCAAGTTTGTCATCTTGTTCTTTTTTCCTGAGGTAGTTTTGGCAGAGCTTGGACTTGTGTTTTGTTATCTTTTTTTTTTTTTTTTTTAACGACTGGCTGTTCAATATTTACTTTTGTACCATTTCAAGCTCTTCAATGGACTTGCACGACTTGAATTGCAATAAATAACTGGAAAAATTAGAGTGTTCTAAAACTTTGGACTTCTGATTTTTGCATCTAGTGGTGTTATATGAGAATACAAAAGGGCCCAATCGACCAGTGTACAAATGGTAGCTTTAACCTTGGTTTTAGTCTCAATTAAATCCTTTAGTGTATCACAATAGTACGATATTTGTCTGATACTTATCCTTATATTCTTATTTCTCATCTTTTCTTTTAACTAATTGATGGATTAAAAACAAAAAAAACTAAATTATACCATTTCTTACTCAGAATAGGTCTCCCCGACAAAGAACTTTCAACAACAAAAGCAGTTAGATTTTGAGCCTTTCAGTTGTGTTGATTGAAATGGTTGTTACTGAGTTAAAGAGACCAACACAAAGAAAACTAGTGGGATTAACGTGATTGACAGCAGTGCACCCTTAGTGGACAGACTTTGCTAAGGCTTTGCTCACATCAGGGTCCCAGGCTGGTCTAGAGGAGGGTCTCCTTACGAGGACTGGTGAGCACAGACCTGCGCTGCTCCACCGTCACCTCTTGGCACGACTCGGCGGGACTAGCTTGGAAGTTGATCGTGTCAATCGTAGGTTTAAACCCCACGGACGGGATATGCCAGGTGGGATACTTTGCAGATTTTGCCTGGGCCGGTTTGGGTTGGACCTGGGTAGGATTTCTGGCGGAAGGTGTGGAGGCGGAAACGGGACCAGAGGGAGAGAGGGCGGATAGCGGGGCGTGGAGGATGGAGGTGGAGTTATTGTGGGACATGGCACGGGAGTAGAAGCCTGGACTGACGAGGGTTTTGTGTGGTATGGGACTTTGGGGCACTTGGTTGGGCATGGGGCTGCAGGGCGTGCGCACTTGGACGGGCACGCGGGCGCGGAGAGGGGGGTGGTCCAGGGAGTTGGAACGCTGCACCACGGCTCCGCCCTTAGAGTCGCTGCTCAGACTGAACGTGGAGGTGGAGCGGGACATCTGGAGCACAGGATAAAACACACACATACACACGCACACACAGACAGGCAGACGCACACACACGGGACACACGCTGCTTAGCCTCAACATGTGATTTATGACAATGGAATAGGATTTGCATTTTCAGTAGGAAAAAGGGAAATTAAGGATCACATAAGAGACAAGCCACAAATACAGTGTAGTCCTGTAAAGTAGTACTTTGATTAATTGTTAACTACAGGTTCGATGTTACATTTTATACAGACATTTTACACAACCAAGCTGATTTGTATAGCTGTGAAATCATTCATTTTCATCAAAACTGGCATTAATTAAATACAAATGATTTTATAATTCTATATTTTAAGAACAGGGAAGTTATCATTGTTCAGGGCATTGCAATTATTATAAAAATCGGTGATTCCCAAACTTTTTTTTTGGTCTCGAGTACCTCCTTTATATTATATATGAGGTATATAGTACCTAATATATTTTCTTGTTTTAATGACACTAAAGTCCAAAACCCTAAATGTTCTTAAAGACGTTAAATCTACTATAAAATATTAAGACAAGACACTGCAGGTAAATAAGAAAAAATATTAAATTTGGAGGTATCAGTTTGAAACTTCTGTCATTTACTCATAAGAAAAAAGAAAAATCTATAACATCTTAATGTTTACATCTAAAAATAAGGAATTCATGTATAAAACAGCAAAAAACAACATTTTTTGGGACATTTGAGACTCAAAAATAGATGGATACAAGTTTAAATGTCTTGCTTTAATTTGTGGTCATATTAGATACTGAAAATATAGAGATTTTTGCCCGCAGTGTCTTCCATTTAAAGGACAAACAAAAACGAATCAAATTAGATTAGTTTTCATCTTGTAATTTATTTCAAGTGGTCCCAGTAGATTGGGAAATACTGATCTGTGACTTCAGCTGTGCATTTAATAAACCGTTTAATTCTACAAAAACAATAAATTTACAGTTTTCTCTCTCTTTTTTTAACACCACTAGAATCTATGTTTAAATAATTGCTTTACATTTAAGTTACTTATCCTTCAGTGAATATAAAATCTACATTGTGCAATTGCAATGAATTATGCAGTACTGCAATTGGCTTAAAAGGGATTTTACACTGTGTGAGGACAAATTTAATTAAAAGCAACAGCTAGTGAGATCCAGTGTTTAGCCATAAGCCCCATTATTAAATATTTTGTCTACAAATCCATGGCTTTCAGAATGATGAAAAATCTGAACCATTACCATAGCAATAAACAAATTAAAACAAAATACCCTATCTTTTGAATGTGAAAGAGACCTCAAAACGTTGCATATTGCAGAAATCTGAAAACCCACGGCTACAACTGCTATATTATATACTTGTTATGTATTGTGCAACCCGTATACATCTCCTGTCTGATTGCTATTGAGCGCCGGTGTCCTCGTGTAACCTCCTGGTAGCGGGGAGCGAGGTACTTACGGCGAGCGTGGCGCTGCTGCCGATGCGGTTCTCACAGCTAAGCCTATGGCCCTTCTCATCAGGAGTATTGTTGGCCAGGAACGCTCTCTGGATCACACGCTTCGGAGTCTTGGTGAATGAGAAAGCCCGAGTCACCTATAAGAAAGAAAGAAAAAAAAAATTATTGATTGTAATGTATACATCAGAGAGGATATGACGCAAAATGTCACCCATGTTCTTATGTTCTCTCATCAAAGCATGTCTGAAGAGGTTTTAAGTGCCATCCATGCATGTTTGAGTCATCATGTGATCTCTTCAGGACCCTTTTCGAACCCTCTTTATGGTTAGTTATAAGATTGTAGGAAATACTCAGCCCACAAACCTACGTCACCCATTCTCCCACGCAACAATTCTCCATAAATATATAAAAAAAAAACATGACACAAAACTGTAAGCAGCAACTCGACAAACCTTTTTGCAGTAGTTTAATTAAGGGAATGCGTGCCGATTGTGTTGTGATAGAGCTCTGAAGGGGGGGTGACTTAATGTGGAGAGCAAAGCGTGTCAAAAATGATAGTGAAATTAATATATTGTCGTTGGCGAGTTTCCAAGTTTTCCATGTATGTAAGCAAAATTTATCTTGCCAAAGTACCGTCTGCATCCAATTATGCAGTTTCATAATCTGATAATCAGGAAGTGCACTGTTAGCATGCTAGATGTTACTAGTTAGAATGACTACAACCGTAAAACTCTGCTCTGGCCTCTTAAAAAACGCTTCTAAAACTCATCACAGTGAATAATTAGGATGCTTTAAATGCTTCAGATAAGTGCAGAATAACTCTGGACCACTGCAAACTATTTGAAACTAGTTCTGTTGTTCATGTTTTTAAGACGGTAAAATGTAGGTACAGTGCTTTTAAGGCAAGTAGAATACGCAATTTTGTAAAAAATCTTGAAAAGAAAACAATATATAATTAAAGAATCAGAGACAGACATGTTGAATATTTGAGCGTATCGCAAGAGAGGTTTTTAAAAACATATTCAAAGAGATTCATTTATTGCTCAAAGCACTGTCAGAACTACGACTGAAAAAATGAGTAGTGCGCTCACATTTATTTAAATATACATTCAGCAAAAGTACTTTATGACCATTTGATGTTGATGGTATTAGAGCAGACTATACCGCCTAATAATTATCTTCAGACGTGACCTATATTTCATCCTTCTCAATTACACGTCTTTGCTGTAATCAAAACTGTACACAGCAGAACAAGAGCTTTTAATGTGAAATAATGTTCTAATATTGAAGCTCTACGAAGAAAAATCACGTTTAATTACACTGAACACTGATAGGGCTGGTTATCAAAAGAGTTGAGATGAAACTGGTACTGAAAAATGTACTATAGAAAGTTATTAGGCAGTGTCACCACAAATGAATGAGTTTTTCCACTATATGTTAATCAATGGAATTTCTGAACATCAAAATTCTTGTTATTCTAGATCATGATTAATACAAGAAAAGGTACATAAAAAAATTGTTCAAGCATTGTACTTGCACATATACATTTATATAATTATGCCTTATCTGACATCAGTCATCACAGCAGTCTCTTGATGTTTCTCCTACTTATTTAGAATGTATTATTACCATTTTTCTTTGTTATTATAATATGCTGTGAGCTGCCGTGTCCAAATAATTTCCCTTGTGGACCAATAGTTTGTTCAGGTCTAAGTCTAAGATACAAAAAAAACAGGTATTGTTCAAGCACTGCTACCCTAGTTATGTAGTTATTGTTTTCCTCTACACCAGTGTTTCTATACCAGTGGTACACAAGCCTCTAATTAAGAGTTTGGATGCTAAAAGACCGACTTAAAAGCATAAAAAATACAGTTTCATAGTAACAGTAATGCGTGTTTGAAAAGATGTTGATTGGCCAGCTCACGACGGAATCACCAGAGTCACCACTTTGCTCCATTTAACAAGACCTGCCAAAAAGTGTCTGACACTGCACTTCCATTTGCTTGTACAGCGAATTAACACCTGGAGAAATATTGGCAATGCATCGACGAGAGGGTTACCAAGGCAGCACTAATTGTTGCACCTCACTGTGGTGTTTCTCACTTGTTTAATGTATTCAGTATATAAACCAATATACTCCAAAACTAACCACACACAAGCCTTACATGAATTAAAATACATTAAAGCGGCTGTACTTTTTTTTTTTCCATGTAGTTGTAGTTGAGTAGCTCTTAGGATAGAATTGAAACTGGTGTTTGTGGTCTACATTTTATTATAAAGAAACGCATCCTCCAAGAATCAGGAATTGCACTAAATGTTTGTCAGCATTAGGGCTAGAGGTGTGCAAAAATACTGAAATATCGATATATCGTATCGTTTAATGTGATGATACAGTATCGATATAGTTGGCTGCTGTATCTATATATCGCTAAGAGTATTTTTTGGTATGTTTTACTAAATTATTTTGTTACAGTGCTACAGTTTTGTTACTTGTTCAGAGGAAGGAAACTTATTTAAGCAACACATTTGACATTTTCACTGTTCTGGGGATTAAACGGTTTGTGTTTCATAATAACTTTGCACAAGAAGTGGTTTAACAAAGACTTTTAGCATCACAGCCATGATTTAGCCTTTATTTTTTATTAAACCATATAGAATCAATTTGAAATATATCGAATTAAATCGAAATCGAAAGCTCGCTGTATCGAGATATGTATCGTATCGTGGCTTTTGTATCAAGGTATGTATTGTATTGGCAACTTCTAAATGATACCCAGCCCTAATTAGTGCGCTCTCAAATTGTGAAAAATAATATGCTCGATTAATTTGGACATTTGGATGCATTAGGAAAGGAAAAACAAACTAAACTGCTAAAATCAGTGCTTCCCGCAGTGCTTTAAAGTTAGGGCAGCCGACTTGACAACAATTGCCCCGCGCCATGACTACATCCCTCCAAACTACATGAATCCTGCAGTTTTTTTTCTAATTTTGAAGACAGTAAAAACTCTCTTAAACCTCTTAAAGTCAAACAGAGCTGCAAAATTAGGCAGTACCTGAAGAACTAAATTAAAAAAGCAGGAGAGGCAGAAGTATGAGGTGCATTTCAAACTCTAGGTGTTTGTAAACGGAAACACCTTACTGTAATCCGTGTAGTCTTTTGTGATGTCACGTAGTACAGGAAACTGCCAAGGCCACTGAAGGCACCACAAACTTGGATTGAGGTGGATTTAGCTGCAAATGTACCTACTTTGCACTCAAGTTGCCAAAAAATTACTAGTAATAGTATATAATGCTACTAACACCATACATACAGTAGCAAAAAAAAGTGTATTTAAACTTACAACTTAAATTTCAATCCTAAATTTCTCCACTTTTAACGAAAAAAAAAAAAAAAAGTTTGATTTCAGAGTTTTTTTGGTGAAAGTTTACGCAGTTCAGCATGTAGCCGGGTAAACATTTGGAGTGTTTTCAAATGCGAGCGTCCTGCTGTTACCTTCTTGGAGGTCTTCTTGATGGCCCGGGAGGCTTTGCTCAGAGTGCTGTCCATGTCCTTGGTGCTGACCTGGAGAGAGTCTGGATCTGTGCTCTGAATCAGGTCCTCCTGGTTAGCACAAATTAGGGAAGCCAATTAGCGATAAACATCAACACGAGGTGCGCATTAATAAATACGCTACTACAAGTTTCAAAGCACATACCACTTGACCTGGCCGCTTTAAAAGTGCATATGACAGGTTTTCATGTTTTTCTAATTATGTTTTGGGTAGGTGGAGTAGTACCGGTGGTAAATATTTATCATAGTTTTACATCTGTTTGAGTGTTAGTTTATATGGGGGAAAAAAGTAGAGAAAGTAGTGGTCAGTACTAAAATGGAAAATCTCTCTAGAGCATTGTTTCCCAAAGAGTGGGTCACAATTGATTTTTTGGGGGGGTACAGTATACAGCTCTGACACATAACAAAATGTGTGAATGTATGCTTATTCCTTTCACTACTACTGTATTTTCCGGGCTATAGGGCACACTCTTAAGCCTCCAGCCCCATCAAAAAATGACTGCGTGCACCGCAATCCAGAGCGCCCTATACACGAATCCGCTCGGGTGTCCCAGCACGACTTCAGTAAACTACAAAGCCACACCACCCGCAGTGCACGCAAACACGCACGGAGCAGACAGCGACCGCACAACGAAAAAAAAAACACGCAGCCACACTCATCACTCCACACGGACGAGGAATGGAACGGAAGAACAAACCAAAAAAGCGAGTGCAATGTGCCACTTCTAGACACAAGTGAACAACTGAGTCACTGCGAACACGCCGACAATCCAGCGGTCACAGACAGCACCCTCCCTACACGCCACAACTGAACAAAGCCCAGAGTCAGAGTCACCGTGAATGCGCCAAACAAAGTCCGACTGACCCATCGAACTGTTGTGTTTCGTTTAAAGTCCGGTGCGGTTTATTTGTGAAAAAAGTTCAAAAATAGACCATTTAATGACAGTGCACCTTATAATCCAGAGCGCCTAACAGTGCGGAAAATACGGTAATATATGTGTGAGTTAGGATTTTCTGTGCTCACAAAAATGAAGACAAAGCACAGAAACAGACTGAACGCTGCACCTGATATGTGTGTTGCGTTTTCTCCTCCTGCACCCTGGACTGGAGGGCGCTATAAAGACGCAGACAGGCCCACCTGTCTCATTAGGAATGTTGAAATGTTAAAAAAAAATTTCTGTATAATTTCTAATCTTTTTATAATTATTTTATTGACTATTTTGTTCCAATCTTGTTGGTTCAATTGAATGTTGAATAGAAAAAGAAATGAGCTACATTTAATGTCCAAATTGGAGACTTAAGGAACCTTTTATCGCTGCTTCAATGACTATTGTTTAAACTTGAGTAATATTAATTGTTCAGAGAGACACGATCACTCAGTCAACAATGAATTATTATATTAAAGTTCAATAATACTCAAATCCACCTTTATTTTATGATTTACCAATAATATGTATTGACTTGGGTTGTAAAGGTTTGTGACTTTTAAAATATGGATCCCCAGAAAAAAAGTTTGGGAAACACTGATCTAGAGAAACAATTTTTTTTTTTTTAAATTAGAGATTAAACAACTTTTTAACAACTATTCAACAAAGCAAAGGTGCTGTCCTCAATTTGTTATAGTCCAATCATAACTATAGTGTAATTTTGTTTTAGCCCTTGTTAACTTTATGTTTGCACAGTAACAGTTATTGAATTACCTCGCCGTGCTAAATCACTCCCCCTTCAGAGCACCTTCACAGCACAAACAGCGTGCATCCAGCTAATTAAACTACTACGCATTGCATCAGGTTTGTCGAGTTGTCGTCTACAGTTTTGTATCATGCTTTTAAATATTTATGGAGAACTGTCAAGTGGGAGCCTGGATGTGGGCTGAGCATTGGACAGAATCTCACAGCCAACCGTAAGGAGGATTTGAACAGGGCCCAGGAGAGATCCCATAAAATAAAACAGTCAAGAATGTAACATTTTAGGCCTGAGCATAGTAACAGAAACATGTTACCGTGGCAACCAGAGCTAGAAGATCATATCATTTTCATCACTCAGGAGCTAACTATCTACCACCAACCATGTCCTATCAGCTGCCCGTGTCTAACCAGGACGTAACATTAAAAACTTCATCAAAATAACAAAATAAATTTAAAAAGAAAAGAAAAAAATTATGTTATAGCCAAAGGTGTACCATATTTTTCGGACTACAAGTCAAATTTTTTTCATGGTTTGGGTGGTCCTGCGAGTTGTACTCTGGTGCAACTTATATATTAAAATTTTCACACTGACAGCCTTGAGAGGGCGCTCTACGCTTGTGTGTCAGTATCTGCTGCTCCTGTTACTAATGTGCCACTGTCACTTCACTCTACTGCGCATGTCTCCTGCAGAAAGAGCCGCTGTCCTCTCTCGGATCATGTCAGTCGCACCATTACTTCTGTACCACTAAATTTTTTATTTAAACAAACAAAGACAACCAAAACCATCTTGTCGGATTCAGAAAGGCCAGAATTATTCTAACTGGAACTGATGCTGAGTCTGACGACAGCTACACAGAGGAAGTGGCGCTGTGTTTACCTCGGGAGCTCGCGGAGTTGCTCAGATGTGACACCGAGGATTAAGAATTCAGTGGATTTAGTGATTTGGAGTGAGATCGAGAGTTTGGTCAACTTTTTATGTTCTGTTGTTTATGCTATAGTTATAGGTTGTATAGAAGATTTTCTAAGGAAAGAGAAATGCAGCAACTGTTTGTCCATTTTCAAATGTCGCGCTTCGCTCTTCTTCCCCTCCTCTTCTTTCAGCGACGTCTTCTTCTTTCTTTTGTGGCGAACTGGTCGTGAATTCTTGTCTGCCATTACAACAAACTTTGCGTGAAACTTTGTGTGAGAGGAAGCTGCAGTTCGAAAAAGACGCTAAGAACCGCTGTGTTGGTTGAGTAAACAGCATCAGTGCGTGAGAGGCGAACGTAAACCACATAATCCCAGCGCGCCGGCAAGTCAGTGACGCTAGAAAAGGAGGGAGATTGATTGACTACCCAACAGCCAATAGATAAAGAGGTAGCCTTGTTATCTATTGGCTGATGTTTATCTGCCCCCACCACGTCCACAGTTGATGGATTTTTTTATTTTTTTGGTCATCATAATTACAAGGCTGATGCATGTCTATGATTTTATTTTGAACTTTTGTCGACAATTTGAAACAAAAAAATAATAATCCTCCATACAACTTTTATCTGAACTGTTCAGATGCGATAACTTGCCTTTCAAGATGAAATGTCGGTTCCTGGTTTTATAAAATAAATTTCCCCCAAAAAGTGCAACTTATGTTTTTTTTCTTCTCCATTACACACTTTTTGGCTGGTGCGACTTATACTCGGGAGCGACTCACAGTCTGAAAAATACGGTAGTCCAGCATGTCACTTTAGTTTACTTTTCCACTTAACTTCACTTCTTTGGTGGGTTTTATGTTTTGTTCAATTGAATGGTGGAAAATCTCATTCAAAAGTTTAGAGTATTTTTCAGCCCATCAATAAAGTATTACAGAGTGACTCGCTTCACAACAATTGATCTACCACAACAAAGCGTTTACTCAAGGGCTACTCTGCTGATGTTGTGATTCTGTGCTCGTCTATGATTAAATGCTGCTCAAGGCTCAAACACAGACACTTTTCTCCACTAACTCCTATTAGTCCGTTTAGGTAATGCTGAGTGAGTGACAGGGCGTTTTAACCAATCACTGTGAAGTATGAACTCAGAAGAAGCAGAGGGCTGGAGCTCCCTCTTAACGGCAAAACAAAGATACAAAGATAAATTGCGCTTAAATCCAAATTGCTTTTTAAACTCACATTATGTTGTAAACAAGTATCTTTCATTTTTGGACAGCAACATTTATCTCAAAAAATAAAACTGATAAAAATCTGGGTGAAGCACTACAAGAAAGAAAGCGAACAATTTCAGAATCCCATTACTTAACTGTGCACTGTGTAGCGGCTTGTCTCCATGGTGATGTGATTATCTGGAATGTTCCACAGTATGGCATTAAATGTATACAGCGCAACAGAATCAAACAGGTGATGCCACACAGGAAAGTAGGGGACATTTTTAACCATAAAAATGATTGAATATATGCAAGATGGATACGTTTAATGACCGTAATGTGGATAATTCCAGGCAAAACAAAAACCATGGAGACAAGTTTAGGTGCTCACTCAAAACCACGAGCTTTGACAAACTTTACAAAGACTTTACAAAGAATCAACACGGATTTCTGCAGAATCAACAAACGAAAGAAGTTTTATATGAGAATTTTCTAGCAAATTAGCCGCTGTGGTTGGACTGTTTAAAGTAGGGATGGACGGATATGATACCAGTGTTGGATATTGCGCCAATATTGAACATTTTAGTGGATCGGATATCGGGGGTCAACAGATACTCAAAGCCAAAGTATCGATATTGGTATCTGAACAGAAAAAAGCTGGATCAGTGGATCCCTAGTTTATTGTTAAGATGGTTTGTCACTACTGTCGGATTCCGGACTTTTCTAGCTTCAGACAGAATGTAGAAGAGATTCCCTGGTCAAACAAGAGACAAAAAGCTGGCAGGCCATCCACCTGTTACAAACTTTTTCCGCAGTCGTTCCAGTGATAATTGAGCAGCAGCTCGAGAATTCTCTCATCGCACTTTATGTACATCAGCTGATGAGGAGAAGGGAAGAGTGTCGGAAAAGGGAGAAAGAGGAGAAACTGAGTCAACGGCTGCTCTACCTCAGCCCACTTAAGCATCCTGCTCGCAAATCCAAAGAGCAGCGGATGAAAGCCCGAAGTGAGGACTGGTGGAGCCAGATTGTCCGGATCATGCCACAAGGGTGACCCAACGAGCATGCGCTGAACAACCCAAATTATTTTTAAGAAGAATAAATGTTTACATGATTGAGGAATAAATACATTTTGCTTTAAAACTAAAATAAACCACCCACTTACTTTATTTTAATTCCAAATAATAATTTTTGTTAAGAATTAAGTGTTTACATGTTTTTTTTAAAGCAGAATACATTTTTTATTCAGA